AGTCCGCTCGAGACATCTGTGCTCAGATGAGCAAATAGCTAATGATGCGAATTCGCATTGCTCTAGTGTTGAGCAGGCCTCCAGCATTACCGCAGATCTTTGCCCAAAGCCTATCGCGGAATCTATTGATCCAGGTAATTACTTTTTTCTTATATACCCCACACTAATATGAACCTCTCTCTCATCTGAAACTTATTTCATCTATTAATAGCGAACCTTATGTGGAACGAGGGGTTCCGAGAAATCACCGCCATTGTAAACACACAGCAGTCAAGCCTCCACAACATGACATCAGTCTTCAACACTGATGCTTCGCTGCCGCAACACATGTCCCAACCACCGCAGCTTCTGGTGGACACATTCTTCAACGGAATCACCCGTTGCACAACCGAAAACTCGCTTTCTAATTGTCTTGTTACGACACCAACCTACACGAGCTACGGTCCTGAGGCAACGAAGACGTTGCACTGAAGGCGTCTTAGTTCCGCTGCTCGAACAGGCCAAGTCTCACGGCCATACAACAAAACAGTTCGCACTGTAGCTTGATACACACGTCCCTTGAGATTCAGATATACACCACTTTGACGTCATAGGTGTCTCGAATTAGCAAACGCAACCCTAAACTTACAGATTCGTGCATTCATCTCATTTATCATACTATAGTCAACACTAACGCAACTTCTACGGTAGACAAAACCATCCGCAATTTTGAGTGCCTCCAATGGGATTGTAAGTGGCCTGTTCAGTGAGTGCATGTCCAAGAGCATGACCTTACACTTTGTGGATGCAAAGCGCATGCCAAAGGACGGAATGGTTTTGATCAGTTCATCCAGGAACACTAGTGCCTTCTCGTTTTCGAAGACGAGAACGATGTCATCTACATATTCCAGATTGACAAGGTTTTCGTCATAGGCCATTTGAACTCCAGGGTCTTGATACCTTCCGCCGTTCGTCTCCTTATTTCATCGACCACGAAACTAAATGGTGATGAAGAGAGTGGGCACCCCTGACGGATACCGCTTCCTGTGCGAAGATTTTGGAGAGCTCTCCGTGGACTCTCTCACACCCGAAAGTATGAGAATACAAAGGGCTTATTATGTTCACGCACTTCTGGGGCATTCCTTGATGGACATGCTTGTTGAGAAGAACAGACCTATCGGCTGAGACGAATGCGCCTTGGAAATCCAGGAGTACTATAACTGAGTGTTGTGTGTGTGACGTTGTTCTAGCACCTGATGGAGTTTGAAGATCCCTACCAAGTCGGAACCCCGCTTGCTGTTCTCTAGTCAGTGTCTCACGATCCACCGTAAGGAGACGAAGCACAAATGAAGCCAACAGCTTCGTTAGGACGGGAATCTTGCTGATCCCCTGTGATTGCCAGTCACAACGAGGCCCTTTTTGAAAATGGGCACTATCACCGAATTGCTTTATTGTTTGAGACACTTCTCTCTTCTTAAATCTAGGCCAACAAATCAGACAAGCGCTGATTGAGGACTTCACTCTCATCTTTGAACAATGCGTATAGGAGATCATTCGGACCAGGAGCTAGGTAGTGCTTCAGAGAACAAATGCATTCATAAAATTCCGAGGCTGTTGTGGATTCCAGGTTCATGGACCATGTTTCTGAGTCCGTTGTGGGCTCCAGATGAACGGCAGGTGGTAGCATTGGTAACTGTTGTCTGAAGTATTCAGTCCACTGATCGAGGCGTTTAATAGAGATAGTCTCCGCATTCCGATCCTTAATAATTTCCTCACAGCCGATTCCCCGCGGACTTGTCGCACGGATAAACTGAACTGAACTTCAGCATTACCAGCTTTCTGAGCCTCTTTCGTTTGCCTAGCCTTCCAAGTCCACCAGACCTCACGGTCGGTGCGCACACTTATTTCCTCTTGACGCCTGATGGTTCGTTCGTATCCGGTGTGCATATTAATCCGAGACCCAAGCTGTGTCACTATCCTGTCTGCTTGAATTTGCCTACCTGCCGTGCCACAGGTAAAACTCCCAGTACTATGTATAGAGATGGTGACGCCGTCCCAGTTTGAATTCATTTCTGATGGTGGAGCAGTTGGAGGCAACTCCTGAGGAGGATTCTGGCAAATTTGTCTGGCATCCGGATCTATCAGTTACCAAGCGATTTGTGCGCACCTTACGTGGCCCTGGAAAACGAATGGAGAAGCGACTCAAGACGAGCGCGTGTTCCAAAACGAGCGGTATTCAGTTATTGATCTGCGCCATGGTTAACTGGTGGCAATGTTATCAGTCGGGGTTCAAAGCCGGTGCTGCATTTAGCCAGACGACTTCGACTATTTCGTTTGTTAATACTGCAATAAAACAGCCTGCGGTCAGCACATAACTGAAGCAGTCGTTCACCATTGTCCGTACGTACTGAGTCCAATCCTTGTCGGCCGCCTTTAAACTTGCTGCAACAGGGCATTCAGGACTCCATAAAACCTTTCTTAGATGGCGTCAGGGTTCCAGTCATCTGGGATGTAAGCAGACACGACAAAAAGACATTGATCAACTTCCTGCTTGGGAGCCTCCTTCACAGAAGTTTCCAGACGAACCGCATAGAGGTTACTATCAACGGGTATCCAATTAAGCAAGGATCGTTCCGCGTGGTAACTTAGGACGATGCCAATCCCCTCACATCCTGCCTCATTTGGCCTTTGGTTTGCTGGAGGTGCGCAGCCGAAATCGGGTGAAGAGTGATATCCATTCTCACCTGGGCTGATTTGTATGATTATGCGGATAATACCCCCCACTTTCTTATACTCGCCCGTTCGATTGATTGTATGGTTAGTAGTTCCCCGTATCCGGATGACTTGAAATTCCGTTTTTGGATCATTATTCGTCGTTCAATAAATAGTTCCAGTTAAATATATTATTTGATATCACAATACCTCGTGTGGTTGTTTCCCAAGAGGATACAAATCACCGCTGTGAACCACCCTAGTAGGATGAGTCATTTAAACTAGGTAACGGAGCGTTTATCGAATGGAGATGTTGTTCAACATCGCGCAATATTTCAGTGCGTTATTTCTGTTGATTTTTCCGCCATGCTTAATCCTAATCTGACTCTCCTCATACCTTCTTATTTGCCAGGTATTGTGTAAAAGCAAACGTTTCACAGCTAAATTTCCTTTCAGTCACTAAACGCAGGACCCAGTTTTACGCCACTAGCGGTACTGTTACAGGGTTTTTGGAAAGGTTAACCCTCTTTCGCTAACTGTGTTCCCTGATGGTTTCCACTGGTAAGTAGCATCTTTCTAACGTGTGTGAACATGTCAACCTAATTTGAAGTGTTAGTCGCTATTTTTTGCTGCTGATATACGCCTTACTGGAGTAAGACAGGTAGTGCCCTCGTTGGATCTCCCTGTCGGCAGTCCTTGCCTAATATCCACATCTCATTTGTGCTTCTAAATAGTGCTTGACTGCAGCAATAGCCAGACCGCTTCCCACACCTTTGACTTGAAGCTTGAGCACATTGAAGGTATTCGAGGCACCTAAGGCTCCCACGGTTTCCAACGCTTTGTAGCCCCTACTAGCCCTGTGTATCCCACTGGCAGGTTGACTGGGTCAGGTAACGGTGGTTGGTTGCTCAGATCAGGATTCGGGCTAGTGAAGCACCGGCTTACTGATGTGTTGCTGACGATGTTTATGGTATGGCTTCGCTATATCCACGCGACCAGTTCGTTCTGCCGGAGGCAGCTGTGTTAATGGGTTCCCGATAGCAAGGCTTTGTCACTTATGTCTCGAAAAAGGAGTACTACTGTCCTGGCTAAGAATAAATAGGGTGAGTAAGGTTTCCATAAGCGCACGTAAGCGTTTTCGTCCATTCGTGTGTATTGAGTTGCATATATTTTGCCGCCAACACACGAACACAATAAAGCCGGTTATCTTGCCGAGACGAAGCTCTACTGCAAAGGCAAGCTCCCAGCAAGTGGCCGTGCTTTCCGATCTGTGAGTTATCTGGGAGCTGATAAATATACCCATTCAAAATTAAATTTATGTTAGTGGGCTCTGTGTTTCTGCATTATGTTGACGCACGTATCCACCATCCTTCTTTCACAGCATTGTTAAACTCAGCCACCAGCAGCGACCTGAATGTCTCTGCCGAATCTCCGTCACATGGCCTTCTGCATGTTAACAAAGATTACTACCAGATAACTTCTCAATCGGAGGAAGATTTTAACAGTTCATATGATGCTTCCGAGTATGGAACGGTACGTTCCTCACGAAAACTGTCTGTTCTGAGTGGGCTGGATGCCTCGCCTTCTCAACTGGATCAGGATATCACACATACTTGTGAACCGCTAATGCTGGAAGGGGATCCTACCAAGCGGCCTCCTACCACTTAAATGTCACATTTGTAAACGTACTTCTCAGATTCACTCCAAAGTGCACTGTGATTATCTTCCAACCTTATGTGCTCCTTAACTTCTTCATTCGGGTTTTCTTTGCTATGTTTGCCTATCGTTCCCGCGCCAACAGAGGCTTCATGATTCATTTCTACATAGTTCTTCCGATGCAGTAAGTTTGTCTTATTTTTGTACACCAACCATCTCTCGGTCTGTCTTCAAGTCTCATTCTCTTCTATCACAAGATTCATCATATATTTGACAAAATTTCCATTCATGTACAGAATGGGTTGAGTTATTCTATGCGCTGACCCATCAACAAATCTGTACCAAACTTCGTTCATGTTCTGCTATGTGGTGGCTCGTCCTCAATGAATGTTTCTTTAAGGGAAATCAAACATTAGGTTCAACTGGTGTCGGTCTCTTTACACATCCCGGCCACAATGGCCTAGGAGAACTTCCCTCACTATATTATTGGCACCGAATTTGGGGTTTTGTACTTAGACCCCTTCAAGACATGCATTTGCTCTTGGTCGACAGTTTTTCACTTGTAATAGGAATGTGGCACCACAACCACTAATCCACCGCTGCGCATCACTACGCTCCCCAATAACACACTGGTGATGTGACCTCGATTGGTGATGAAACGTTTGCAATCAAATTACCCAGCTCAGCGAACAAGCCAACGACCATCCTCGCTACCTGAGCTACCAACATTTTCCTCTGTGATTTAAATGCCTTGGTTTAACGACGCGTCTCCAAGGCAGCGTTCGAAACCTGTCGTGCACCGCTAATTGGCCCAATGGTGAAAAGCTCAATGGCGATTAAAATTCGACGGGCAAGAAGTTAAGCACTCCTATCAATTGAATCATGGATAGAAAGTAGATCTACTGTGATACTGATAGAAACACTGGTCAAGTGTTCGGCAGAAAACTCGGTAAATTTTACCGATTCCCTTCAGGAGTCGAGTACCACACAGTCTTCCGAAGGAGACATCTTGCTAATACAGCACGCTAGGGCCAACATTAACAGTCACATTTTTGCAGAATATTGAACGTTAGCTGCTAGCGGTTTCGGCGTATAACTGGGACTCATGCCAGAAGCAGATGAAGTTTTCCTTGCTCTGTAGGTAGGAGCAGGAATCTACGAGTTCGCAGACATTGTTGGTTGGACCGTCACAGTTCCAAGTTATTTCGACCTCAGGTCAAAATCCAGAAATTAGCGTGAACATGAACTTCAATACTGATTTCAGAATCCCCCGTGAGATGCGTTGCACACCTGAAGAGTTTGTAACCGTGATAGCTATGACCGAGTGTTGACACTTCAAAATAGGGGTCAGATACTCTCGTGGCAGCAGAGATCAGTTGTCTTACATCTGGTTCTTTTGTGTTGTTGCTGCTGTTGCGTCAATGTAAAGCACGAGCACTCACGGGCTGCAACGCAAATCTCCGCAACACCTTAGTAATGTATCCTATCCGAATCAGATTCACTGATTTTCCGCCTACCACTCGTCCAACTCCAGTGTAATTAACCTTTAGATGTATTCATCTTATAAGAATCGGCACATGGTTGAGACGGGCATATCTCGACTATCGGCATCATCGTCGACATTATCACCACCGTCATTGACACCAATGCTTCAATTAAATATTGGTAGTAAGCAACCGGCCCGCTACCCACTGTTAAGATGGTAGGCGCGTGTGTTCATAACAATACCGCGTGTATTTGCGATGTTAACACCGGGACAGCCGTACGGTTATTTCCCTGCCATAGGCTTTCTGGTATCCCGAGTGCCAACGTTCTTCTGTGGCCTATTACAATTGGCCACTTGAGCGTGCATCCTTACTGGTCCCATAAAGATAACATATCTACATTTTTCAAACGGCAAGAACTACTTCATACTTAGCTTTTTTGTCACAATCACTGTTGTAGTATGCGCAGCTTATGTCACACTCCACTCGGATCCGATTGAAATAATGACTCCAGGTGGTTTCCAGCGTGTTGTTCGTTCACTGTTACATTCCACACCGTAAACTTGGTGACCCGGGTGAAGTGCATTCAGCCGAATTAAGGCAATTGGTCAATCATTTTGCAACTTGAAGGTTTTGTCAAGACTTGTTTGATATCTTCCCCAAAACGGGACATGTTTCTTTAGATAAAAAGGCTGTCCTAAATCACATGACCAGGGTTAAAAATCCCTTAACTTTCCCCTTCACTTTTATTGTGAGCTGCTGGTACTATGTGCACCGAAAATAGTATAGTACTTGGGCCCACGAGAAAACAGTACCTGGGGGTTACCGACGCAACTGTCTTGAAAAAGATGACCGATATGAACCACCTTTGAGATTGTGGGGAATCGCTTTGCCTGTCTTCTTCAGCCTATCAGAGTGCGACAGAATGCTTTAACTTTGTTGGAATTTTAATGGCCTTCGAAATACGTAACATGCTGATCCTGTGTGATCGTTGTCAGTCATGATGGTCTTGATTGGCACCTTGTGACATATTTCAACCTAATAGCATGCTATACTATCGACTAAGTGAAATTAGTTTGAAGTATTCGAAAAATGGATTAATTTGCAGAAAGGGTTATCGGATCAGTTTCAGGGAGTTGTAGGACAGGTAATGTTGCTGAATAGAGGTAATCGGACAGTATTGAGCTCGGTATCGAGTGACCCATGCATTCAGCTGTTTGTGAGGTTTTGTTTGCATGATCAAACACATACCAGGTATGCCGTAACAATTCAATGAGACTCCGTTCCAGTTGACCCTATGTTTATCCAGGAACACGGACCAGCCCTTTAGGGCCGTCGATGCAGTTGTCTTTCTGAGGTCTATCCGAGTTGGTGGAATTGACATACGGATAGAAGCGGTGGTAAACTCCGCGTTGTGGTAAGTTTAGCAGTACTGTAGTCGTAGTGCTTTTTTCACAATTTGACGAAAAGAGAACTTCGTTACGATGCTTGAACTGGTATCTCTATCCACAATTTCTTGTTGGTAGACATTGATAGGCTGCAAGGTTGACGTTTTTTCACCTGTGTGGTCAAGGTGGAGTTGTGAGACTAGCTCGTGTTTAACAAGTGTTAGCGAACGATCGAATGAAACTTTACCAGTTGTTGCACCGGAGAAGAACACCACCTGGACTTTCCTCAAGATGATGGATGGTCTTTCTACAGCACTCTGTTCAGCGAACTTTTACGCAGCGCCTTTTTATCTCAGCTTGTGATGCTATATCTGCCCTCACTTCAAATTTACGTTCGGACTGGTGGGTAGAACCGGCAGGCAACTCTGGAAATATTTGGTAACAATGATCTTCTCGGCCTGCGTAAACGACTGAAACTTTTTTCCGCAAAGTTCAGGATTCCGTGGAGAAATAAACATTCACGAATCGAGTTGATGCTAACAAGAAAATGAACCGCTGGTTTACTAAATGTGGTGCACATGAGCCACCTCATGTCTCAGTAGTATATTCGTGAATCCCCAGTGTATTTTCGTAATATCATGCGCTACTAGTAAGGGTGCTGAAGTCTCTGACAGCCCACTAACAGTTTGAGCATTACGAGCTCACCAGGCGGGCGCGACCCATTAGTGTATTTCTCCATTCGCATACCAATCGATATTCAAGTGGGCTCCACCCGTCTGATTAGCCCTGAGAAAATGGAAACCTGTAGTGCGTTGTCGAGCGGTTTTCACGAACCTTGTCAGTAGATTGTTGTGCATCCAGAAAACAGATAACCAAGTCGAAGAAGGACAATGCGCAATATCAAGCATAAAACTGCGGACATCTGAACTTATGGAGGACAAAGCTGGTGCTGAATGCGATATTTTATATGAGGAGTCCTGGCTAAACAACAATCCAGGAGGAAAATATCCTGTTTTTTTATACCAAAGTGACAAAGCTGATCTCCAAATTCCACTCAGTATCTTTATTTCATTTGCTAATTATGTTTTATGATACCCTGCCCTCGTGGTTTTCGCTCTTCTCGACGGAGAATCGGTCTTAGAACTTTTTTTAAGTCGTGAAATATTAGTAATCTACAGATAAGACCATGGAGTACTAAAAGAAGCAGCTTGAGTGACTATAGCATGGCTCGACTTGCGTGGATATAAACCACAAAATCTCTACCGGATGTCGGTTGTATGCCCGACAGTGGGTGTAGGACGTCACGTGTCAGCTACGCGTTGTACGTCGGATCGGAGTAGTTGGGGATATCAGCAAGTAGATGTAAGAACTCTATGAGAAGGCGAATGGCCTTGCCACACCAAAGTTCGTTACAGTTGCAACATGAAAGTTGTGAGACTTTGTACCCTTCATTTTTGTTTTCTTATTCTGCTACATTAAAGGAACGTGTAACGCTGAATACGAGCATCCACATCCCGTGCACTCCGATAATTCTTACTTTTTTGTCGATCCTTTTATCCTATTTTCTACTGGTGTGGTTGTGAGACACGTCGGTAGCGATTGAGGATCGCCTTTTTCGGCTCACCACTCGTTAACTGTCCGGTCTCCTGAAATTTTCCCGGATGATGGCCCAGAAGAGGCTTCATGGGACATGACTTTTCTTGGCTCCTGTTGTGGCTGCATATCTTGGAATGTCGCAGAACGTGAAAATAAGGATAATGAATGCCTACTTTGGATTGATATCTTTCTTTAGAGAGGGTCGCTTTAGTTGTTTTGGGATTTCACTTTTGTAAGAACCATAGTGAAGCTAGCTGTCATTATAGTCATATGTAGTTTCACAACACAAGTCAGGACTGACTGATCACGTGTTGTACATATTTTTGAAACTAACAAGTGATTGACATGTATAACATCCGAAATCACGTGAAATACCTGTAAGTTGGGAGGAATAGACAAATGCCGCGTGTACCTCAGGAAGCTGAACGAGCAAACAACGAATCCTGGAAGATGACGGAAAATCAAGCACAGTTCAAGCTTCCCGTGGATAATACACTGCTCCATAATTACAAGATAAATCCACAGCCAGATTTCAGCTGGGCCAACATACTACCGAGATCGGAATCTCCGAAACCCAACTCGGAGTACGCTTCAAATTTTGTTTGGCACTGATACAGAAACACCCTGCTCTAGCATTCTTAACGCACTACTTCAGAAGCGCACATCCGTTGGTGTACCTCTTGAGTTGCTCATACACGGTCATTCGTTCAACAGCTTAAAAGTGCTGATCAACATGACTGTTTTTTCTGTCGTTCCCACGTGGTATACAGGCGAGTTCCAGTTTTAGAAAAAACGGCACTTCAAATTCTAGCGGTTAAATTTTTCAGTGAATCTTCCGATTTGACACCCTGAGGTTTTCAAACCGAAGAGTTAACTTACGTTAGTGGAGATCCCTCCTCGTTATTTTCAACTAGTGTTGACTGGAGATTAACGTGAGCTTGAATGGAGTTGCTCCTCAATCGGGAGTTGTCTTAGTGAACTGCTTGATGCACGCAAGAAGAGCCAAGTAGGTAGAGGGCTGTCGTCAAATTTCTGTCATTCCCCACATTACTAAGAATTACAACTCAATACCTTGAATATCAACCCAAGTGAGCTGCCTTGTACATTGAGTTAAAGGAAACCCAGTAGGAGATGCCAACATGGATTGATGAGGCATTCAAGATATGGAAAGGATGATTTTATTTAAGAAGTAAAATTATTTGAACTTCAAGGAAAATACTTCAATAATGAGCCACACACAGATCAAAGCTAGGAGTAGGTTTTTCGCGGATTTCAACCACTCATTGTATATTCTCAAAACATAAAATTTCTGTATCTTCCAACAGTTTGCTGTTCGAAATGCCGTGAGGTAGCAAATATATATGCTCGTTTATTCTTTTGAAGAGTTGGAAACTAGTCATTAGACCATAAACCTTTTGGAGATGGGCCACTCATTACCACTAGTAAGTAATCTCGAGCTGGCCCTTCGGTGTTATACAATATGGTCTGATACAATGAGTTCCGCTGTTTAAAAGGAAAGTTGCCAGAAATTTTGTGTCCCGGCTTAAGAACACCATACAAAAGGGAAGCCTTTTATCATTAAAAATTCCAGAGACGACAATAACTCTGATATTCTTTAAAACATTTGGACCGTTGGGCGGATTACTCCGAACGGGACAGTCGGTGACCTACTAGTTTTCGCCCGGGCTCGCTGCCTTCGATAGGGCCGTGGATTCTGAATATGGGACTTCCCTCGGCTACGGCATTGCCTGAATTTTTAATTCATTTTCAAGTTTCACCTTGCTCCTACAACATCCCACCTGTTCTGTTTAAGAACGGCAGTGAACTTTCCAATCAGCGCATGTCGCACTTGTTTGAGTCGATCCGGCGGGTGGGGAAATATCATTGCAAACGACTGAGGCAACCGATACTAGTGACCCTTCTTAAAAAATATACTCAAAGGAAATGCAGCGACCATTTGACTTCCATTTCACCAAGGCTTGCAGCATCACTGATTCTGCACAGTCTTGAGGCCACATGTGACCTTGACCCGGGAACATCAAGCGGGATTTCGACCTGGAAGAGCCCGTATTAACTACATTTTCACACTCCTCCAAGTGTTAGAGCAGTCCATATGTACAGATATAGAGTGAATTCGAAGGCGCATTTGGTTCTATCGATCGATCAGTGATACTTAGCTCACTTGCTCGACAGATGATGTCCCAACGTGCACGGAATTAATCCGATCCCGATACTCACATTCTGCCGGTCGTTTAACAGGGTACTGATGCACCACACTACTAGAAGTAGTGTCCTGATAAAGACCTTCACTCTCAACATATTTTAGCAACTTCATCGGTGAACTGAACAAACACTTGCGAATCGGCAGTTTGTCATCATACAAACATTCGGACCCTTGAACCTACAAAGTGTGAGGCGTGTGTAGCCTGTGGACGTGTCCTTTATGATTTAAGTAGAGACAATGGACGCGGTGAGGAGTATGCGCAGCTCGGTTGTTGTGTTGGTTTCTAGAAAAACGTGTCTGAATAGAATCAATTTAAGAATCTTGAAGGCTCGAATCACGTATGCCGGTGAGGGTCAGTTATTGTGTCAAGACCACAAGTCGCACGTACCAGGCTACAGTATGGTTTTTACTGCTGTATGTTTGCCAGGCATGACTTCTGCTGGTAGATGATCTAAGGCGTCTCCAGGCTTTGAGTCAACGCTGTCTCAGAAGTAGTCGCTGGTGTCGAATGGCGTCGGCGTCTTCGCAACGAGATAATTAGAAAACTAGTGTACGGCTGTACAGCAAGTACGTTATTTGCGGGAAATTTCCCACCCATGCTGCCTCGGCCATCTGCTACGTCGGCCAAAGTATCGTCTACCAAAATGAAATCTGCCTCCTTTAGGACGACAAACAGCGAGGTGAACAAAGCATGAAGTATCATATGGGTGTGAAAGCTATTGCGAAGAGTTCGGGTTGTGGCGTTTTGTACCTTTATTTTAATTCCATTATAACACTACGTATTTCATCAATTTAATCATTTTTTGTTTAAATACGAAAAACTACAAAAACGCGCACCGGTACAATTTCACGAAATACACGCGTGGTCACGTGCTTTGACTCTCTCTTCTGATTTCGCTCGCGATTGCAGCGGTCATTTGCGAGTCTCATGTACTAACTATGGTACCAAAAAATTTCAGACATCTTCGGAATCTATTATATGTGGGAATTGTTCAGAAGAAGACCTCTGGTCCAACATAATTGGATTATTGTTTATTCGCTGATCTGGGCCAACGACGAACTATTTTAAAGAGAACAATTGTTAATGAGTCTGTTCCATCTGACCTCTTTATTTTTGTATACCCAACCTAGCGTAATTATTTTTATTTCTTTGCCACACACTCCTGGTAAACTAACTTATTGGGTAGCCAGACCACTACAGGGTATTGTTGGTGTGGTTAGTTTCCAGGCTGGTGCGTTCATAACTTTTCATGTGCTTCGATCAAAACTCTAAGAATTGGTGTCAGTGGGACTCGTGATATCATTTTCTTTCCGGGTTTTCTGCCGAGTACATATTAAGGTTTGGACACATCGAATGACTGTTGGGGTCTGGCACCAGTATCATTCCTAATCTAGTCTTCCCCATTCTGTGTTTCAGGTTGTACGGTTGTACGTCATTAACGAGCCAGTATCTCAAAACTGATGCTGATGATGGCGAGGATGATAATGATGTTGGCTGGAACTAGAAGTTCCTATTGGTTAGTCAACCAGAACGATAGGAAATCCGTGTGAATATATCGCGCGGGGTCCCTGTAAAATAGCTCACCTCCATGACAGTTGTTGAGTGGTAGCCCCGCTAGCGCAGAGGAAATAGTACGTATGGTTTGCGATCCCGAAAGACGCAAATGATGCATAGCAAAGCATTCACTCTGACTGTATCGCAAAAGCGTTGAAAGAAATGTTTAGCATTCCATCAATTTTTTTGTCTCTTCCTTACTGGACTAGATATGATGAGTGACCTCTTGGATGATCTCCACTCTTGAACGCCTACGGTGGTTAGAGGAGGGCAGCATAAAATTTCGACTAACCAATAATTTCCAAATACCCGTCACTTTTAGTTATAACGATGTTCTTGAGTGAATTTGCGCCCGTCAAACTTTGGACAGGTTTTCACTTCTATCAACCTGACAAGGACTTGTGTTGCCTTCCAATCCCTCCTTTATCGTCTCACAACCTTTGTGGGACCACCATCAAGAATGCCCCATTGAAAACTCAGAGATCAGTCACACAGAAGCATTAACAGAGCCTCACCCCCAACCTTGGATTTGAATACAATTTAGCAAGGTTGAGGGGCCCTTAGAAATATCATGGACGCAGCAGACCCTGTAAATCCGTTGAACTGGCAGTCTGAGGTTTCTGTTACCCCCAGAAGCGGTTCTTTGGAATGTTGGATAGTTGACTAAATATGTTTGTCTTGTTAACCCACTGAGTCCTGCGATTTTGCAATTAGGGA